CATACATTTGGGCAGCATTTGTAGCTGGAGTGGGCTCTTAAGCAGCTTCTGAATGATGCGACGCGCTCGGGCAAACGTCAAAAATGTCGTCGTCCAGCCGCCGTCTGCCCCCGCGCACGCTGCCTGTCATGTCTGCTGCCGTGTAGCGAATGTTAATGAGCTGTTAAAACTCAACGTCCAACGCTGGCCGCATCTTCAAATTAAAACTGCAGCAGCTACACGAACTGGCCTGAACGAGCCTGAACTCTTAACTTGTTTTACATCTTGTTTTTTTTTACGTTTTTTCTTCTTCTTGAATTTTACCACTTTGTCGTTTGTCACGGCTATAAATAGTTTCATTAGTGGCACTACAATTGCCCAATAAATGCGGCCTGAGAGTGTGTAGGCCGCTGATTGCACCTTGATTTGATTTGATTTTTTTCGGACTGAACTGAACTGATGACGTCGCTGCTAATGAGTTTCTCTTTGGCTCGTTTCGTTTCGCTTCGTTGGCTAATTAAAAGACAGTTGCTCTTAATTCAAAAAAATTAAAACTTAACATTTAATCCAATTATACAAACAAGTTGTCAACTGTCTTGGAAGAAGACAACGCTCATTTATTACTGCAGCTGGCAAGAGTGTTGGAGCTGAGTGTGCCTGACCAGGCAATTAAGTAGATCGGGTCGGAAAAGCGATAAGAAACAAAAATATAAACATCAGTTAATATAGAGCATAAATAAAGTCGTTTATTGTGAACAAAATAAATTAACTAATTTAGTTTTTGGAGTAAAATTTCTATTGTTTATTTTTTTTTTATATTGATGCAATGGCGCTGAAGATTAAAATATATCTGTTACACATCTCTCCCTTTTAGAAATAATATTTTATCGATTTTAGATGAGCTGATTATGAATAACATGGAAAAAAGTTTGAATTTCTCGACTCGAGTAAAACAAAAGATTGGATTCTTTATATAAAATATATCTATAAAACTCTTTATATGCTCATGGAAAATATTTACTTATCGTATATATATACGCCTCTAATGATGTATTGGAATTAATTAAAATTTTATAAAATATACAATATTATAAATTCTAAATAAAAAATAAAAATCGAAAACATTATAAATTTATTTATATATAAATATGAACTATATTATTGATATATAATTAAATAAATTGTTCAAGGACAACAAAGCGTATTATAAAATTTAAAAGAATTATTTATTTATTTTTTTTTTTTTATAATTAATAATGAATTATTCTTTATTATTATTATTATAATTATTATTATTATTATAGTTATTTTTATTATAATTTTTAATTATTATTATAATTATTATTATTCATGTATATGTTCATAATTCTTTATTTATGATAATAATATATTATTTCTGTATTTTATATATGTATATTTTATATTATATGTATATAAATATACAATTTATTTTTATATATATTTTACTATTTTATAATATTATCTGAAATAAAAGTAGTTTGATATTAATATATTAAAATCTATCTATAATATTATTATTATTTTATTATATTATAGATAGATATTAATAGCTAAATATAAGTGGCTTAATATAATATATTTACACTTTAACCACATTTCCTCATCGCCACTCTCCCAGAGTATCCTTTTGGTGTGTCAGTTAACTGCTTGAACGCACTGTAAGTTATTAGCACTTCATACTTAAGGCTGTCAGCACTAATAGAGACCACTTGATAGCCTCTTAGCGTTCGCTTCATTTAAGTAAATCACTGCGAATGAGCCGCTCATGCAGTTGATTGTGTTGCCACTTCCGCGACTTCTAAAAAAAATATATATAAATATGTATATAGATACATACATATATACACATATATTGTATATATATTTGCCATCGAAAGTTCTAAAGTTTCGCCCCCGCATTACGATTTTCTCAAGTGTCTCACATGACGGCAATAAGCCGCTACCCGGGCCGAAGTGCAATTGTGACTGTGTCGCGCTGAAGGAGTGAAGACTGTAATCCAATACGTTGCGGGGTGCGCTTAAGCGGCTTCTGCATGTCAAGTTCTTGTTGGCCCCGGGTAAGCAAATACTTTGGCGCCCATTGAGAGCGCAGGAGGGCAGAGGCAGAGTAGAGCTCATATTACCCACGGGCCAGAAAACAATAATTTATTGGTAGCCAAAGTTATGGATGGCGCTTGGCCGATGGGAAAACGCTGCCGAGACGAGACTGAAGCTATGCCAGCTCTAACTGGCTAAGGGACCAGCTCCCCAAACAATTTGTCTGCTCTACAAATTCCGTGGCGCTGCTCTCTAGCAATTACTTGTCTAAAATAATTGGCTATGCCGCAATCTAAAAAAAAAAATAATAAAAAAATACAATGAAGAGATGGAAATAAAACAAACAGAGACTGAAACCGAAACACAGCAGCCCAGACCAGACGTCAAACAATCAAAAACTGTCTGCTGACTTTGACTTTGGCTCTGGCATTGGCTCTGGCTTTGGCTTTGGCTTTGACGGCAGCTGCTCGTTAGGGCAGCGATTTCCGTTTCCGCTAGACCGGCGACTGGCATTGAAATTGAAAGAAAAACAAAAGCGTGAAAGGATTTAGCAGCAATCACAGTTTCAATATTAATAGTTCGCTGGACCATGGCCCTATGGAATCCTGCTACGCCTTTAGCCTTTGGCCATCAGCCGTTAACAGCAACTGACGCTGCTGTTGCTCCTCCTGCTCCTGCTGCTGCTCAGCATTTTTGCTGCGTGGCTGCTTTTGGCTTTCATTTTATTTGGTTTCGCTGGCAGCGCGCCCCTTTTGGCCAGCCCAGACATTGGCTTAAATGGCAACAATATAGCCAGCAAACAAAGCGCAAATCGAAAATTTTGGGCACCTCCAGTGTCCACACCCACATAAAAAGGGGCGATTTTTATTTGCCGTCTATTGATGTTATTGACTGACTGTGTGGCAAGGCGGAGCGCAGGGAGGTGAGGCTGGGCGGGTGCGAAGGGTCCAGCATCCAGCTGTGACCAGAAAAGCAAAACGACATCGTCTGCGGTACGCGACATACCCGACCAATATAAAAGGGCAGCATAAAAATAAGTAATACTCTCTCTCTCACTCACTCACTCTCTCTCTCTCTATCCTCTACCTCTCCCTCTCCCTCTGCCCCTCTCTTCATTCTGCCATTCATATTCCCTTTTTTTGTTTGCAATTTAACTTTCATTTTCAATTTTCATGGTCTTTTCGTTGCTTTTTATTTGCGGCCAGCTGAAAATGATGTAGCATTTGGATTTGCTTTGGCGGGACTTTTATGCTTCCGTTTAAACATAAAATACGTAAAAGCGTGTAAAATGCACCTGAGCTGCGTTTTAGAAATGCCAGACAATGGCCAGACCATTTGGCAGGAGGCGGCGGACTCAGCAATTGCAATAAAGAGTGATAAAGAGAGGTGGAAAGCGAGAACAAATGAATCTTTTGTGCCATTTAAAGACATTGACAGAGATTTTCCACAAAAAAATAAGAATAATAATACCTTTGAGCATTAGAAATTGCTAAGCTTACTTAGTCTTTAATAAACAACATTTAAGTAGAATCAGCTTCCATTTGAGCAGCGCAACTGTAATAAGCGGCAATTATTAATTAGTGGAATGCTCATTAAAAAAATTGCTGTGGCGCATAAATTTCAACATAATTTGATAGCCGATATAGACAGAGAGAGGGAGAGCAAGAGGTAGAGCGAGAGGGCGAAGGGCGAGCAATGTATTTAAATGGAATTGCCAAGAGGCGGCAAGTCCCTTCGTCAAGTCAAGCTGCGTCAAGCCTCGCTGCTTATCGATTACATCTCGCCCACACAAACAGACAGAGCGAGAGATAGACAGAGAGAGAGAGAGAGAGAGAGATGCACCCACACAGCTAGCTGGGTGAAGGCCGCCATCGGCTTAGTGTTTTGGAGTGTGGCAAATAAATTGACATTTATCTGTGTGTAACAAGATCAAGTATACGCCACATTGGCCGCTCTCGAGCTCAGCTGTGATTTTGTGGCCAGCTCGTTGATACAGTTGGCTTAAATGCTGCACTGTCGCTCAAACATGCCAGGCGGCTGATTCGAATCGGGGCGACGACATGGCGTATGAGTAATTTATATTGCGTAGCTCGACCTCGAGACACACACACACACGCAAACAAAATTGAAACGGAAATCAAAGCCCAGAACTGAACTGAAAATGTGGAGTTCTGCTTGGCCAACTAACTAACTAACTAGCGACAGCTACTTGGCATTTGATTCGCCTATTAGTGCGTGAGTGTGCGTGAATTGAAATTGCAAATTTAGTTCTTATGGCAAAGTTTGACAGGTGGAAGAAAAACTGTTGAGGAAAAGGCTGCAGATTGAGCTTATGGCAAGCCACAGCGAGGGCTGCACTTCAGGAACTAGTTCAACTGCACTAGCTCGTATTGATTCATTTATTTATTAACAAAGTTCAGTTCAGTTCGGTTCAGCTCTGACCTTTGCTCCAACTACTTGAGCAACTCTCAATGATTCATGTCTGCGAGTTGTTGTTGTTGCAGCCCTGAATGAATCGCTTATCAGCCATCGCGTTGCACGTGGCATGTTGCACGTTGCACATGCAACTCAGCCAGTTGAGTTGTTGCCTTGGCTGACAGCGCTGAAAACTTTGCTGACAGGCAGCAGCAGCTCGCAACGTAAGTAGCTGCTAAGTAAGTCAGCCAACAAGCAGCCACATATGTTTAGCTAGTTCGACTATGCCATGCCTAAGTGACGCGCCAATCAGCACAGAAAAAAAAACAACAAAAACAACAAAAAACTGATAACCTTTTGATATGGCTGTGTCCTGTGCAGAGACCTAAATAGATATAGATCCTGTTTGCATATATGCAATTTGTCTTTAAACGTAGTTGAGACAGCATTTAAACTGTCTTGCTGTCTCTCTCTCTCCACCTCTTTCTTTTCATATATTCAATTAACACTGCTAACCTAGTTTTCCTCAACTCTATTTCTCTTTGCAGCATTATTCCCAGAGCAGCACAAACACATGCACAAGTACAAGGTGAGTTGATTTCATTTCCATACCATTCCACTGCACTCCACGCCATTCCATTCCATTTCAAGCCAAGCCACAGCTCTCACATGGAATGTAATTAGACTACGGAAATCACACAGATAAGAGCAATTTGATGTGCTCTTGCAGCGCTTTGGCTAGTTTAAAGCAATTGCCATCAAATTTCCTGTGCCCGCAAAAAAATACATATATCTGTATATATAAAGTAATACGATTTTAATGCAAGACGGAAATGCGCTCAACGAGCCAGAGACCAGGGCGTCAGCCATTCGACACGATCTGCTCTTCTGCCATTTCCGCAGGAGCATGCCAAATGAGAGCAGAACTTTTGAAAAGCGGAAAAACCGGGCAGATGTTGCTCACCTATTTGTACTTTTCCTGACAGCTAACAGCTCTGCCGTGGAGTTATAAAAGGGATTCCACATGACATTATCAGTCAGAGAATTGCAACAAGTGTTTCTTGGAGCTATAAATACCCTCACATTTCATAGGCAGAGATCTGTTTAACTCTCAGCTTTAGTTCAGCTACAGCTACTGCTCTGACCTTTGGCCCGTCTGTCCATATGGCTCTCTGCCAGTCCCTGTTCTTCCAATACTCCTGGGCAATAAAAAGGAGCTATTGCAGCTGTCTAGCCGTTGCCAGGGCGACTAAATGAATTTCAATTACTTTTACGTGCTGCGGCTTCACATGGCCCGTAAATCGTGAATAAATAAATTTTATGCGTAAATATAATTCAATTACCCAACAAAAAAAGAAAGGCAAATACATGAACTGCAATACCCCATGACTATCCTTGTATATGTATATGTGTGTGTGCGTGGGTGTATATATGCTTCCCTTTTCAGGCTCGTTGTCAAGCAGCCGCTTTTGGCCTTTTTAAAAATAAAAAAAAAATATATAAAAAAAAATACTGCCAAAATATGCGGCAATCGATTGCGCTTTATCCATGCTGAGGACACTTTATAGGCAACTCATTGATTTTCATTGATTTTGTGTGAGTTATTTTTATGTAGGTATTTTCTCTACTTATTTTTGCTTTTATTCTCTCTGCTTCACTCGGTTGGGCAAGCAATTTATTGATTTGCCTGTCCCTAGTTATTTAGGCAGACATTTCTCGGGAAAATGCCGCTGTTAACGGCAGCTTTGTTGTTCTTCAACTAAAACCTAAGCTAGGGAAATTGCGATGAATTATCTATAAATATATTTTATTTATTTATATATTAGCTTGAGTCTAATTGCGACTTGGCTTGAGCATCATCTAGTCAAAGCTTGCACAAGCTAAGCACTAAGAATATTTCTTACATTTCCAATATATCCTTTGAAAACTCCGTGAGTCCTAACACTCTCAAACAGCATATCAAGTTTAATCTGTCTATTTTTGCTGACATTCAATTCAATATCAATTTCTTCTATCTCCAATTATTTCAGTTCTATTTTCTTTTCTTTTCTTATACTGCACAAAGTGTCCCCAAAAATGTCTGTGCCACAGTTTTCATTGTCGATTCTTTTGGGGCTAAAAGTTCCATAAATCACTCAGCGAACTCAACAGGTTGCCATTGGCCCAGTCAGCTCCAATAGTCTGCCCATTTTTCAAGTGCCTGCATTCAATTAACAGTGAAATTTATGTATGGGGAAAAGTCGGGATTCGCCTCACACACATACACACACACACGCACATTCAGTTGAGAATTGTTCGTATCAACTGCCAACTGCAATTAAAAGGCAATGAATTTTGCTCGCTCTCTTTCACACTCTCTTCCGCTCTCTTTGGCCATCTCGCTCGCATTTGACTTTGCTGCCCTGCCAATGTGTGGGCGTTTCGTTGGTAGTTTGTGGCAGTGGGGGGCGTGGCGCCTTAAAAGTAAAACACTTAACTTAAATTGTGTTCAACAGCTGGAAATGAACAGCAGCAGCAGCAGCAGAAGCGGCGGCAACAGCTGTAGGAGTCGCGCATTGCTTTAATTTTTGGGCATCGCCTCTGCCTCCGCCTCCTGCCACAGCACTGCTGCTGTCTCCTGCTTGCTGTGATTATAATTTATTGATTCCACGGCCAACGGGCAACATCTGTCCGGCGAGTGCTTTAAAAATAGTTTGTGCATGTTTTATGAACATTTTATACATTTTATTTAACAATTTTCGTTTGTTTCGCGCACAAGTTCAAACAGCAAGCGCCTCTCTTACATGCCACGCCCACAACCAGTGGACATTAGCAAAAGCTGCTGTGGTGCTCGCTTTTTGGCAACATATTTCACATTTTTTATGATTTCCACATTTTGTTTTGTTTTTTTTTTTTTTTTTTTTGACAAAGTGGAATTTGAAAATGTCTGCGTGCAGCTGTCACAGCCACGCCCCTATGCCCTCAGTGGGCGCCCACTTGCAACAGCTTGCTAATAAAATTATTAACGTGTAAATTCTTGCGACTTATTTAGCTGCCAATTAATAAATTTTATATTCAGCTACGCGTCGCACTGTGCCCCCCCTCCTTCCGCCCCCTCCCCCATCTTTTGTAATACCAACGCATTCCACTGGAGGCTGCCCACTCCACGCCCATCTGGTGCCACCCGAAATATGTGTCTGGCATATTAATGAGCATTTGTTACACTTCTCGACGAAAATTTATGGGTCCAGGTTAAATTCCTGGGATTGCTGAGCGCTCTTCATTCGGTTTGTTCATTTGTTAAATTAATTTATGTTCCTGTCCGTTGGATTTCGAACAAAATATTTAGTGACATTGCCAAACAATGGCAGGCATTTGGTTTATTTATTTTATTCTTAATTTCTGTGTGTGTTTTTCAACCCTTTGATTTAGTCACAGCGAAATGATGTAAGAGCTAAATATATTTGTGTATAAAAAAATTAATATATACATATATTTATGTATGCACAGCGCCGTTCATTTAAATAGATTTAAAGAATCTGGGTTAAAATTTCTTAATTTATTTATTGTTTTTTTTTTTTTTTTTTTTTTTTTTTTTATATACTCGCTTCACAAAGTATTTGAGTGGTTATTCAAGACGTACAGCCAATAAAAAAAATTTATTGAAATCATTAAAGAAATATTAAATAAAATTTTGTATTTTATTTTTCTGGGCTTTATTGTTTTAGTTAATGAATTCCTTTGCTTGATAATATTTATATAACTATAAAAAAAAAAAAAACATTAAAAAAAATATAAATAATATAAAATCATATAAATATAGGTTTTGATATTATTTAGTTATTTTTATTTATCTTTTTATTTTGCTATTTAATCATTTAATTGTTACATTTACGTATTATTTATTTATTTACTTATTTATTTATTTATTTAAGTTTTTACTTTATTTTTTATTTATTTATTTGTTTAATTTATTTATATATGCAACAAAATAGATTTCGGATTCAAAGCTAAGGCAATATAATTTTTCTATTTTTTGTAAAACTTTAAACCTATTCAGCTGAACGGCGCTGTATATATAAAACAAATTTGGGGCTTATAGAATTATTATTTATTATTTAATTTCTCACTTGGCTTATGCTAACTGTTGCACAAGCTTATGGCACGTATTGCCATCGATCTATATATATTTCTAGCTGCCCACTCTCTCCCTCTCTCCTTCACTCTCTCTCCCTACTCTCTCTCTTTCTCTCTCTGTCTCTCTCATATTAGCATTCCAAACACGTTGGCTGAGCAAAATACTTTAATATGCCGAAAAAAAATGTTGCTGCTCGTAAATAAATAGAGCTGCTTGAACACGCCCCCCTCCCACACACATATTAAACTTTGACCCATTTCATAGTGGCACATTTGCATAACGCCAACGACGGTGGTTGGTGGTGGTGCCACAAAACCCTTTCGAAATAAATTAAAAACGAAAATCTAGCTAAATATTTAATTGGCACACACACACACATTATATTAAAACTAAGCTCTCTCTCTCTCTCTCTCTTTCTCTAACTCCCTCTCTCTCTCTTTCTCAGCATCTCCCTCTCTCGAGAGATTTCATAAATATGAACAGTGAGCACTCTAATTGTTATACGTTATCCGCAGAGCAAATATGCGGAGTACACTGAACCAGTGGCCAGAATCTGCTTTGTTGCTTTGCGTTGAGCAAGCTCAAGCTGAAGTCGCCCGGCGCCATTGTGTCCCAGTGGCTGGCTCCGTGTTGGCTTTTTGGCGAATTTTTAATGGACGCCACTAGCTGCACAACGTATTTCACTTCATTTCTTATTCACGCGCCCTACGGCCGCCTAAAAAGCACAGTCCCCGAACTTCAACCTCGGCAGCCCTATACGCCGTTGCCATGCCTTACGGCTACGGCCTCAACCCTAGCTGCCGGAAAATGTTTGCCTTGGCGTCCGAAAAAAAGGTTTGCGTGCCAAATTATTGTGCCAGTGGCCCAAAGTTTTTTCCTCTCTCTCACTCTGCCGGCAGACTTTTATTTTGTTGTATGTTAGTTTTTTTTTTTCTTTTTTTTTCTTTTGCTGTTCCTGTTGCTGCCATTTGGCAGCAGCCAAAACGCAAAGTGCGTTGTACTCGACTCGTTTTTTTAAAGGCTGCCAGTGAAAATCGATATTATTCACTAGCGTACAACGTGCCGTATGAGCGATACGGCGAGCTACAGCAGGCCAGCAGCAATGTGTTGGCAGTATTTAAACGTATCTCGATTGCAGATATGAAACTCGAATAAATGCAAAAGTAATTAATTAATTAAAGTGCTTATTAATATTTATTTGTATATAAAAATATATTCATTTTATATTTAATATTGCTTATTTTATATTATTACATTCATCATTATATTATTTATTTTAGCTCATTAGTATATATTCATTTTATTTTTAACTTGTATTATTTTTTTTTTTTTTCAATTTATTTTTAGTACAAATTTAATTTATTTTATATTTAATTGCCTTTTAATTTGTTTTATTTATTTTTTTTATATGTTTTTAAATTTTTTGTAGTTTATCTATTTCATTTAATTATGTTTTTTTTTTTTTTATCTAT